AGTTGGGTTTCCTTTGCAGCTTCAAATCTTGTTGTTTAGTTAAAGAAAAACAAGTTTTTAAGAACAACTCCTGAGGGCCAAAACGGTCTTCATATACCAAGCTAAGAAATAGGAGGGCAAAAACACTAAAATGTGCTCCTCATGAAGCTTTAGCAAAAGCTAAATGTATCCATGGAGAATTGGTGCAATATGAAATAAAGTCATGTATAATATGTCATCAGCAGTGATTTTGAAACACTGGTCTTTCTAACTGTTTCCTGAAGTGACTCCATCTGAACTCAGCAGCAGCCTCAGCAGGACGAGCAGATGGAGGAATCTTCCAGACCTGCACACTGAGTATGAATTCATTCACTGCAACAATGAGCCACCTCCTATCTGCAGCAACAAACGGCTCAGTTCAGCAAGCAGAGGTAAAAATGCTGCTGATTCACAAAGGCAGCTGATGAGGTGAAAACATGGAGACAGATGGAAATCAAAATGAACGACCGGATGATGTCAGGGAGCGGTCATGCAGAAACATGGGCCTCCATGTTTTCCAGCCTGTCACATTGGAGAATGTGTTCGTCGTTACTGAACCGTTCAACTAGACTGATCGTAGAGTTTCAAGCTGCATCGCCCCAAAGAGCCAGAAAGGAAATGTGTGAAGGTCAGAGGTGACACATTCTCTTTGACAGTTATGTAACATTTATTCAGCGCCACTTCCCAACAACTTTATACCCTTGAGAGGAGAAATATGTATTATCTGAAGCACGACTTCTTAACATTTTCTAAAGAATGAGATTCCTCCCACTTTTCTTCAAACAATTACGACACATTTAGTCTCATTAGGGTTGTAGATCAGAGTCTTTGCTACTGTACCACAAATTTGCTTCTCCCTCTTGGATGGCAACTGTTTCTCTGTGCCTCAGGTGACAAAAAAAAAAAAGGAAATGCGTATAAAGCAAATAAATCCTACTTTCTTTCCTTATTTTTGAAGGCAGTTAAGAAATTCGTACAAACCACTAGATGTGCCTTAAAAAGGTTTTATCAACAGAAAAGGCGAGTCATATACAAAACAGCTAAAAGTATGACACAGAGGTTTGTATTTTAAAGACATTTTTTTCCTTGAATGTTATCGAAACAGAAAAAGAACAGAGCGAGAACCTTAGCTGTAAACAACCAGACCACCGGGGCCATCAGGGAACCATTTGTGAACATACAGTAATTATGATCAAAATATTTATTTTACTACAAGCTTTACTTTCTATGTTAACCCTATTAGTACATAAACTATCATCCAACATGTTTAACAAGGATGATTGGTTTCAGCTAGGGCTGAAACAATTAGTTCGGATTAATCGTGATAAATCGATTATTCAAATAATCATCAACTAATTTAGTAATCCATTAATCGTTAAATGGAGTATAGAGACTCTTAAACATACCTTTAGCTAACAGAGCGACTCACGTAGAGCAGTAATTATATCAAGATTGTCAAAAAAGTTAAACATTTTGTATTTAAGATAAAAATAATTTTTTGTCTGTCAATATGCCCTATCCAAAAAAATAACTTAGTTTAATCTGGTTTAATTTCGTAAAAAGTCCTCTTTAAATAACCTTTGGCTATCCCACTATTAATCAGTTAGTAGAGAAAATAATCAACAGATTAATCGATTAGCAAAATAATGGTTAGTTGCAGCCCTAGTTTCAGCTGTGGCTGTTAAATCATAAATGCTAAAAAGTGAGACATACACAATCACTTTGCAGACTTGCTAGTAAAGATGCAGGTTGGTGTGGTGAGACTGTTATAGGCAGGAAGATACTGAAACATGGCCATCAACATCAGAGGAATAAAGGGAGCAGAACCAGAGCAGAAATGACATGCAGTAGTTCACTACAGTGGTGAATTTCAGGAAGACTGGATTCACTAGGGAGTGCTTTTAAATTCCTCTGTAGAGTGCTGGTTTGATAGGTCTTTAAGCATTTGCATTCAGACGAAATTCACCTCACTATATAGATTTCTACAGTAATGAATTAAAACTCAAGTAGCAGACCTATTTTGTCTGATCCAATTGTTTAGCATGCAAAATGTCTGTTATTATTATTTTAGAACATTTGGCTGCATCCATGTGTTTGTCTTTTTCTTTCACAATTAAAGTGAAATGGAGACTAAGATTATTTTCAAGATCTTGCTCTTGGAAATTATTTTGACCTTTTGCTACTTTTTAGAGATTTTCGGTGAATAATCTGACAAAAATCCAGCCATAATTGGGGCTGTGAATAATTCTAGTGTATAAAGGATACTAAATCTGACCGGATGAACCTACTGTCTGTCAACATCTAACCAACAATGAATCCTCAGGAAAAAAAATCTTCAATAATCTGTCATAAATGCACTGTTTTGTAAGTGATGTAAAAGAAAGAAACAAAAAGAAAACAACCTTATTAACCAATAGACATCAACCAGTGTACAGTTAACTTAAGGATCCAGAATCCCAGTAAATGTTTTTGTAAAGAGATCCTTTTCTCCAGTTTCCCTTATGCCATTATTCGGAAGATTCTTTTATCTGAATAAAAATGAAGGTAATAGGTTCAGACCTCTAACCTCCAACTGGTAGAAAACCACATTAACAGTGAATGGTATGTTTTCAAACAGCAGTACCATAAATAGACTTATAACTAACTCTGTGATGGACTAAAAGCTTTATGGATGGGCAGATTTTCACAGACATCTGTATCTTGATTTTATTTTGTCCTTTTAGATCTCCTCATATCTGATTTAGCAGCTAGCCTGAAAGTTTTGTAGGGTAATAATCTCTGACATGGACAAAAAACAGATATATTTGCTTTGATGTTTTAGATTAAATCCTCCCAAAGATCTCCTGAACAGAAAACCTCCACAATAACATGTAATATCAGTCTTATGCTTTAAGGCTGCATCTGTATGCCTGTTTCTGAACCCCTAGGGGGTTCAGTTTCTGTTAGAACTGAACCCCCAATGATTCAGTTCCTATTAAAAAAACAAAAAACAAAGACCAACATATAGTCTTTTAAGAAAACACATGCACTTTGTTGACGGCCACACCCTCCATCTCTGTCTGCCGTCAGCATTATCAAAGAAACAAAGCTTCAGCTCAGCTCCTGCAAACCCTATGCAGTCTGCTCATCTTTAGGCCTGTTATTACCCAACGATTGCTTTATAGAACATATACTTTATATAAAAATCCTGACACCTTTCTCTAATCATCATGTAAGAGATAAATGCATTTGTAAACAAAAAAATGTACTATGGCTGAATAAAGATTATAAGTTATAAAAATATCTAGCCTCTCGTTTTAAATAGGATACATGTAAAGGAAATTAAAAAATAAACCATTTGTAACCTTTAGAACTGAACTCTACAGCTTCACAAATCTCAACACCAACAAAAATTAAGCAGAATCTCAATTAAAGCAACAATTCACATTTTTAAATACCTGCAGCAGTAACTTTCTGAAGACTGATTTGACCTAATTTCTATTTCTATTTATTATTTTTTTATGCAGTTGAGCAGCTATTTAATGCTGATGTTTCTGAACCCAGTCATTTTTAATTACGGTACACTAACTCGCACAAACCAAAAATAAATGTTTTGTTTGGGCCTCATCCTACCCTGCTACAGCCATTTTTATTGTAAAAATGTATTAACGAGAAACTTGTCTGTACAGAAGCTGAAATTAGGGATGGATGTCATCATTTTTATCTGATAGCATTAATGGTTAAGAGGATAAGAACAGTAAGGAGGGAGGGGAGGGATGCTTTGGACATGCGTGTGCTAAATATGACCTGTGTTGATCTTTCGGTTTTATGGCTCAAACATTTGCTGAGAGAAAAAAAAATATCTTATTATATTTTCAATCTAAATTAAAATTTCCTTAAAGCAAATATTTAAGCAAAGCTCATCTGCATCCCAAGGATTTGATGCAGCTAGGACAAATGGGCCTTTCATGCATTTATTTTATGGATTTTATTAAGTATTTATAATTTAATATATATTTTTTTTATTTAACCTTTATTTAACTAGGAAAAAATCCCATTGAGATTAAAAACTTCTTTTTCAAGGGAGTCCTGGCCAAGAGGCATCAAAGTTACATAAGAAACAGAGATACATTGAATTAAATGACAGGTACATAAAATATATATATATATATCAAGTTAAAACAATTAATGATCATTGAGGCTGCTTCAAATTCTTTCACTTTCAACTTAAAAGCATGTAAACATGAATACATACTGATATATGTTTGCGTTGCTAAAAACTCCACGACGTCACCATTAAAGTGCAAAATATAAACAACACTTAAGAAGATTTTATTATTAGAAAAGGGGAGAGAAAAAGCATCAAAACAAAGAGGGATCCACACAGTGTTAAACGATCAGAAATAACAACAATAATGTTGTTAAACACAACAAATGAACAAAGGATCAGGAAAAGCTGGGCTGCTGCTCCTCACCAGATTCAAGAAACCTGCAATGTTTAATCTGCAGGATGTTTTTATAGTATTAAAACAGTAGCAGAATAAAATATCTGACATCAAATGAAACCAGTGATCCCAGTGAAACCAGCACAGCCTGGCACACACCGCAGTAGTCGCTTATAACAGCAGCCAGGCGGAAAAAGCCTGATACCGCATTACAATCAGCTCAATGTGACCTGAAGGTGGAGAGAAGGACGAATGTAAACGGAATCTGAACAGAACCGAATTAGAATCACCCAGATGGTTCTACTGATCTGCGCATATTAGGAATATTTGACCTCAATTTAGCTGTTTTTGCTGTTTGTTTTTTTTCTTTTTCTGACGACATCTATGATTCATGATCCTCCATCCTCCATCCATGAAGGAGAAAACCAGGTCGAACCAGAATCTAAAACCCAGCAGCTAAATTGAACCTTAAAATGGGATCCAAAATGAAAATCCAATGTTTTTTTTTTTAATTACACCAACTGTGCATTAAAAATACAAGAAAAATATAATACATACCTAAATTTATTCAATGTAGATATGTATGATCTGCTTCATTAGATCGCAATTAAAGAGATCAACAGAACCGAACCCAGCCGAGCCCACAGATGGTTCCGGACCGAAAACCCATATTAGAGAAAGAGATTAAATATATGAGAGGAAACAAGGAGCGGTCGGTCCTTACCTCATGACTGCGAGAAGAGCTGAAGATCAATGACGAAGAGGAGGAGAGATGAGAGGAGGAAGAGGAGGGAGGGAGAGAGGCAGGTTTATTTAACCAGCTGGTTATTAGAAATCTGAGACTTTTTCATCTAAATACATATATTACACAGAAACGCACGATCATTTAAACGGATTGATCGTGTCCTGTTTATTTCCGCTGCAAAAATTAAAATTAGAAGAACGTGGCCTTTTTTATTTATTTATTGTCGTTATATTTCCCCACCTCAGAAGGGCGCTAAAGCTCTCCATCTAAATTACTTGTGATCAATTACTCCACCTGCTGGAAGAAGGGGTGTAACACACCTATAA